TTTTTTTTCTAATGATGGTTGTCTTCATAGCGTATGAACTAAAGTTTTGCAGTCCCAGTTGGGCCAATTTCTGAATGTCCTGATCCGCCTTCCACCGCCCACATACATCCTGCCTTCCTTAATCTAGCTGTATGTTGCGAACAAGGAATGATTGATGAGATAGACACACTGTGTCAGAACTTTATTGCCGCTTTTAAAGAGGTAATTCTGAAAGAAAGTTATGATTAACGAGTCTGAGTCATTCATGACCGGTTTTATTAATAAAACAGTGGTATTTATGGGCTTATTTTTCTTATTTTTCTTCTTGTTCCGAATGCTGTGTGCGAGTTTGCGAAACTCCGGTAAATATAGAGTGCCTTAAGAAAGTGATCTCCTGCTTCAGACTTACAAATTTACACTGTAATTTGTACCGTAGTCGTCAAGGTCGAATCTTTTAATATGAAGGAAAGCTTTTCCAGTTAAATCATTTAAGCCTTTAAAAAACTTAGAGATAAAGAATCGTCAGCAAAGCAGTGATTTTTGGGAGATCTTGTGCGTAGGCAAATTGAATTTTGAACGAATCCTACAATCCCGCTACAAAAAGTTTGAAAAATACTGCGTAACTCTGTAATTGCTTCTAGTCTTATTGAGAAAAACCTGTAACCACTCTGCTTGATTTCGACAATTTTTGAACTATCCGTCATATACTGCAGTATCTGGCTGATTGGTCTTCTCAACGTCAGAAAGAGGGCAAAGATGCGTCCTCTCTAGGTCATGATTTGGATCTTGCAATTCGCCCACAAATCGCACATCTCACTCAAGATAGTGAGTTTTTCATTAGAGCTCATATTAACTCTGACGATTAAAGGTTGACGCTCCTTTTTTAAGCAATTCTCTGTTGGATATGTTTTCAGGTCGATGGCCCCTTCCTTATGCTCTCGGCAACATTGTGAGGCAATTGAAGAAAGAAATTATAAAGATGGGCACTCCTGACAGAAATGAACGCATTCAAGTGGGTAACATAGAATTTTTTCGTTTACTCTTATCTTGCTGATTTTTGGATTTGCAGACCACTGAGGATGTTCTAAAATGGCTCGATGATTGCGAAGAAGAGAATTTCGGGAGCGCGTCTCGTGCCATTTCTGAATATCTTATAGGCAAGATGAAGGCTGCACCCAATGTGATCACATATGATTGGTGCCCTCTCGTGAACAAACTGCTCTTAGATTCCGTAGAAAAAGGATTCCAAACACTTTTTACTGTGGTCGATTCAGAAATGCAAGGAAGAGGTTATCAAGTTGAATTTGCTTTATGTTCTTTTGACACTTAATTTTTATTCACAATACTTAGGATTGCGGCATATCAAGTCTTTCACTAAGCGCGGCATTCGTTGTCGATATACTGATCTGAACTCAGTCGGAGCAGTTATGGAGAATGTGAGTTTAATTTTTTAACACTTTTTATCGATGTTTTTTCTTCCTCTTTCGATTTTCATTTGCTGTTCTTGAGCCTTCTCTTCTTAAGAATTTTTTGTTATATTTTATTTTGTCATTCAACCCATTGACAAATCGACAATTAAATCCACGGGTGGATCGCGCACTCTGGGATGCGTGGGAATGTGGTCCATGGCGGGGTCAAACTTTCGCACTTTTGGGGGCGCATTGGTTCTATGCGTCAGACACGTAATTTATCTGCGATCGTCAATGGGTTAAATTAGATTTTTCAATGTTTATTTGCCTGCTGCACCATCATTGAAGCATATGACTCTTA